TCCAACTCTTGACACGCACCTATAACGTCCTGTTTCCGAATAGGGACGACTGGGATAAGCCGGGAAACGGTTTATTACATGCGGAAATGTGTTGGTACACGGACGGATCCAAAAACGAAAAAGGATCAGGCGCAGGAATTTACTGCAGCAGTCCAAAGACTGAGATCTACCACAGTCTTGGAAAACACACCACAACTGCTAGTAGAACAGCAATACACCGGGAAAACAATATGCATATTTTCGGATAGTCAAGCCACGCTGACAGCACTTGAGGCAACGAAAAGCACGTCTATGACGATTCTTCATTGTAAGAAACTACTCACTATATTAGGAGATATTAGAAGAACAAAGTGTCGCTAATATGGATACCGGGATATGCCGGCCTAGAGGGAAATGGACGTCTCGAATGAATGAATTCCCTCGCCAAAATTGATGCAGGCTCGCCATTCGTGGGCCCAGAACCGACACTTAGCGTTCCAAAAAATCTCGCAAGAGACAGGCTCTGTGAATGGGTTAGGAGTGCGACGTTTCGGGACTGGAATGACAGTCCCGGAATGGAACATGCCAAGAAAATCCTAGCAGGGCCATCCAAACATAGAACAGGAGAACTCCTAAAGGCTGCACTGAAAAAAAGGATCTCTCAGTCGAAATGAATATGACTTTGACCCAAAAGATTGGCGTTTTTCAATAGGGCCAAGAACGAAGTTTCTTTGCCCAAAGCATTAACTATCTTTTCATAAGCTTTAAAAAATTACTTTAGAGAATAGAAGAATCTATCTGTCCAAAGTATTTCACTCTTGACCCAAAATTAATATGCAAAGAAGTTCTTGCTACAAGAACAATAGTCTCTTTGATTCATGCAAAAATTCTTGATTGAAAAGGGACATTTCTTGATTAAAGAGACACTTTTCTTAAACCAATAGCGAACACCATTGACTTAACTAAAATTTATTTTGATCTAAGAGAAGTCATCATATACAGACATATTACGAGGTATATTATTTTCTGATAAATTTAGGTTTTCCTAGTCTGTAGTAAGTAAAGTGATATTATTTTCCTCGATAGTAGGTAGTTATTTCTGCTTCTTCACTCCTTGGTATTTTTTGGGGTGGTTCATTACTCTACAAATTACAAAAAAATGTTACATCACGATTAATCAAAGTAAAGCAAACAAATTATTAAAATTATAAGCTTTGGTCACTTTTTGAATTTTTTAATACGGCTTGAAATTCTAAAATTTTTGTAATTATTTAGCTTTAAAAAGCAAATTATGCAAAATTCCAAGTGGAAAATTCCAAACAAAAAAACCCATGCGTACTATGATGTGCGACCTATGAAATGCGCCGTGAGACTGATCGGACTGCCGACTGCCGACTGATTGTATATACCGTCCTTCGTAATCGTCTTTGGCGTCTCGTTATTATTTTTCATCAAAAGAGTATTTAGCTATTGGAAAAATGACCAACTACTTCCTAGCGTATTTTTGTTATTATCTTAAAACAAAGTAACTTGCACTTGGTTGAATGAAAATAGATTCAAGAGAAATTTTCGCATTTTTTAAGAGAACAAGTTTTCTTGAGTTAAGAGAGTTTTTCTTCAGGCAAAATATTTTCTTCTACGCTAAAATAAATTCTCTTGTCACTAATTTTTTTTTCAAGAACGATGACGACTTTAGTTCAAGTCTATCTTTTTTATCAGTGTGGTAGGAATGGAGCGCGTACACTCAATGCAGTTTACACTGGCCACTGTCGGTTGAGATCACACCTACAGAGAATGGGACTGGTAGAAGACGCCGAATGCCGACTCTGTATGTAAGATGACGAAACAATGAAACACGTTATGCGTAAGCAACTTATAGCAAGTATACTATAATTTTAATTATGTTTTTTAGACATTTTGAATAATCATAAACTAAAAAGTATAAAGTGTAATTGAAGCCACTAATTGCGAGGTTCTGAATGAAGCTTTACCTTCTCGAAATATTTTATATTAATTTTGAAAACAAGTCTTTTTTTCAACCCAAAAATTCTTGCTTTGAAAACCAGTTTCTCCTCCGTTTCCAGTTTGATATTTTCAAAACAGAATAAACTTTCGTATCCCGTCGTAATTTAATCCTTTGGTCTCCAGAGGTCCTGACCAGAGGCAGTTATTTAGCAAGGGTCCGTCAGACTAAACGGTTTAGCCCAACCGGGCGAAGGTTGCCAGGGGGAGAGGGGGTGATAAAGTAAAGTAAGCGGCGCAAAGTGGCAGGGGGGAGGTAATAATGGAGGACCAGAAAGGGAAATCTTGGCAGGCGGGAGTGGAAGAAGAGCGGACCGTGCTAAAATTACAATGTCTAGGGTGCAGAGGGTTGCAAAACCTATGGCCCTCGGATTCGAAAGGGTTTCTTGTTTAAAACTCCTAATGGTTTATGCTGCAACTTGAGACAAAGGAAAAGCAAGGCGGTGGTGGCGTGATTTATAAAATTGGGTAATACAATCGTTTTTCTAAGGGACTTGGAGGTGAGAAACTGGGGTCCCCCGAAACGAATGAGCATTGTGGCTAATTAGGAAATGTAAATAAGCGTTAAATAGATTAAGTAAAGATAATTAAAAAATATATTTGCCTTTCTTTTTACAAGGTGACTTTGAATAAGTGAAAATATTTTAGGGGTAATAGAATTTGATCCCAGAAACAAGTCAATGAGATTTTTTCACGAAAAAAAATCTTGAAATTTTGATTTTTTTGTGATTTTTACCTGTACCTGTATAAAACTAGTTAGTCAAAAAATATACCATTGCGACGTTTTCTACGTAAAAAAGGTATCTTGGTTTGCGTAAAAAAGGTAAAAATGGTTTTCGAGATATTTGGAATCGAAATTATCAATACCTGTCATCAATGACATAAGTTAAACATGTTGATTAAATAGTTGAGTTTTTAGTTGAAATGTTTTTGGGCCAAAACTTCAACAGAAACTGTTTTGTCATCATTTGTTCCAAGAAAAATTTATAATTAATTAAAAAAAATAAAAAGTTCCCAAATTTATCATTTCAGTCAAATAAAACTATCTACTCAACAGGTTTATTTTTAGTTAATAATGACATGTATTGACTATTTCCATTGTAGATATCTTGAGAATGGTTGCTCGTAGAGATTTTTACCAAGAGATATTTTATACGTAAAAAAACCGGAAATGTATATTTTTATTAATGCTGAAAACGCAACTTTGTCCCAATTAAACTATCTTCGTATCTATTACGGTTTCCGATATACCAATGCTCATACCTCGAATTTGTAGCACCCTGTATATAATATATGGTATAAGTTAGCATAATAGAAGAATTATGAGATATTAAAGTAGTTTCCAAAAATGTAATAATATACTGGGTGTTCTATTTAATTACGAATATACTACCACTTTTTAAATGAACCTGCAACTTTGTAAGGTTGATAATATTTTAGAAAGTGCTTCTATGTAAAAATCCAAATTTTCAAGATAATCACCGGTTCTCCATAAACGTCTAAACGTACCATCGCCCTATACAATTATCTGAAATTTGTTACCTGCTCGATTACATAATATATATTAATTCAAATAAAATCGAATGCATGTACCTCTTACTTTACTATCAATTTGCCTTACAAATTATTACTTTCTCTAAATCCGCCTTTTTATTATTTTTATTCCTGTCAATATATAACGTGGATTAGAAATTAATTATTCCAATTTATTAATTAATACATTTTATTTCTTCTTGCAGTGTACGTACTTTATACATACTATAATGTAAACGTGCATTTTTAAGAGAGGTAAAATTAGGTCCAGATTTAATAAGAATTTGCCTATTGATTTTACTGTTTAATAACTTACTTCTCAAAGTTACTAAATTATCGCCTACTTATTAAAACCTCCGTAGGTGTTCCTACCACCTAAACCTAAATAGTCCAACAATTTGATTATTCGGGATCTACCTAGCTCCACCTCGAAGTAAAGTAATCATTACCGAAGCACTTAGACGAGAAAATATTGGTACAGAGGTTGCAACATAAACTAAACTCTATAAAATAAACGACAGGTCCGAAATCAACCCTTATGGAAGAGTAAGACATTTCAAAGATTATAGAAAAACATAATATTTTATGCTTGAATGGTAATAATTAAATACATTAATTTGTTGATGTATTTTAAAGTTTAACATATTCTATTCTAGTGGGCCGATTTTGATGATTTTTAAGCAATATGTAGCTGAATTATTTGACTTTTTAATATCTCTTTCAACATTCAAAATAAAAGTTTCCATGTGTCAATTATACGAGGGTAAACAAAACGTTGATATTTTAGTGAAAGTTTGAAAAAAGTTGGGGGGGGGGGCTTACGGGTTGCGATTTTACTAAATATATACTATTACAGCACAAGACACGCCCCCAAATACGTCATTGGAAAATATAATCTATCTCAGCACATTCCTCCAAAATCTAAACGTTTGCAGCACAACAATACATCGTTGGAAAATGTAATTTTATGTTCATTTCACGTGTGTCAGGCTGTGTGGAGATGGTTGTGGGATGCAAAAAATCACATAGATATTAAAGAAAGAAAAAAACTTATGATGGAATTCCGTTATATACTTTATGCACAAAGTGAAGAAGAAGCAGAGGAATTATTTGGTACCTTATGTAAAAAATGCAAATACCCAAATTTTATCAACTATCTTAAAAATTTGTGGGAAAGGAGGAACGAGTGGTGTCACTTTTATAGACAATCATTGTGTACTAAAGGACACAACACAAACAACTTTATTGAAGCCTCTACCAGAGTACTGAAAGATATTATACTGGAAAGATGTAAATCCTTTAATGCTGTGGTATTAGATTTTATAACCAATATTCTGGAATGTTACCATAAAAGACGTCTGATATCATTTGCTAGCAACAGAAAAACGAAAATTAATTTAAACTACTTAAAATTTAAAGATAAAATTAGAAATCTAACAATCTATGTTAACATATGCATTATACTGTTCTAACAAATTCCGCCTTATGCAATTGCGCTAGTGGAACAGGAGGGGCCTTTTGCAAACATTTATGTGCTGTAGAAAATTCGTTTAGCATCAATATTTTATCGAGTCCCCAGTTAACGGAAAATAACTGACAAATAATTGTTTATCTAGCCACTGGTAAAAAAAACTGTTCATTTTTTAAAAACATGATAGAAAACGACGATTCGGTTGCATTTGGGGAATGCAATACCACTTTAAACGCAAGTAATCAAACCCAATCGGATTCTATAACTGATGTTGAAAATATTGAAAGTAAACCTTGTAAGATAATCTAAAAGTTATAATATTGATACTTCCTTAATATTTTTTGTTTTAGGTAGCGAAGAACATAAAAATGTAGTGGAAAGTCTGAAAAGGGAGTTTAGCCGTATTGCAGATTTAGCAAAACATGAGAGTTGTAATACAGAGTTAATAAAAAAGTTTGTTGGAAGCCTAAGAGCAATTAACACAGGTAGTCAGTTGGATTCATTCCTAGCTAGCAAGCAGTGTATCAAACGAAAAACAAAATTAATAAAAGTCCAGCCTACAGCACGTAGTAGAAGAAAGATACAAAATGCTAAAATGGGGGGACAGAGAATTGAAAGTGGGCGCCCTTCCAGAAGAAGAAAACACAACCTGTCCCTTAATATCATGTCTAATCTTCCTAATTCTAAAATTCATTAGATGTTGCTATGTGTTGCTTTGTGCTGTTTTATTTTGCAGATATTAAATATAGTTCCAATTAAAAGAGTATCTATTAAAATTCAATTTATTCCATTTCAACCGATTTGTATGACTCAGCCACGTTGTTGTGCTGCAAACGTTTAGATTTTGGAGGAATGTGCTGAGCTAGATTATATTTTCCAATGACGTATTTGGGGGCGTGTCTTGTGCTGTAATAGTATATATTTAGTAAAAAAAAAAGAAAAAATCGCTTACGGGTTACACATATCTCCCTATTTGGAACAACTAAAAGAACCGGGAATTTCCTTGCGATGTCAAGATTTGTGTATGATATTATTGTTTAAAGTGTTTAAAAATTGTATTCCTGATTATTTGTATAAGCTAAAAGTAAAAAGATCACAAATACATGTAGTGAAGTGCCTTAAGCCCTTATGGGAAACAAACCTCGGAATTCACTTACTGCGTACGAATTTTTATAAAACTTTTTGCATTGTATTGTTAAAAAGATATATTACAAAGTTTACCCATTTAAATTCGTTGCTTTCACTTTAAAAAACACACATATACAAATGCATACATACAAGATGGCTCCATGTTCCGAAAAAGCTCTGTATCAGGATTCCTATCTGAGATATTCACTGTTTATCATAAGTTTTAGTTTTTCAAATAAACTGCATTATATTTGTGCTATAAAATTCCGGTTTCAAAATTACCTTATGATACCATAGAAATGGTGGTTTAACTAATAAAGTAGTTTTTGAATTATGACCACGTCCATGAGGACATCAATCTAGACGTCCAGGAACTTTCGTGAGAACTAATCGAGACGATCGACTTATTGTAAGTTTATCGCTAAGAAACCGCCACGCCGTTTGCCAGGTAATTATTTTTGTCTTAAGGCAGTTTGGAAAAACTCCTTTTTGAAATGACTCGTTAATTAAAGTAGTAAGATGGTTTAATTCATTCAGAAAGTTCAGAGAACGTTTTGAGAGTAAGCCCATCAGTCCCAGATGAGGATTTGTTTTTAATACTATTAATTGTACTACGGAGCTCATCTAATGCTACGGGCGTGAAGAAGAAACTGTGTAAATTCTCATTTGCTTTACAGAGATATGAAAGTGAATCATGGGAAGGAGTTATGGTGTTCACTAAATTTTTAGCCACATTAACAAAGTAAGTGTTTAAATCTTCAGGTGAATTTTAAGACTGTGCCAGACGAAGAAGTCTTATTCCTTAAGTCATTTACAATAGCCCAAGTCTCCTTAGCGACATTACCGGCTTTGGCTTGCCTCGCATTATAATAAATGCCCTTGGCAGCTTTTATAGTCTTACGATAAACCTTTCTATAAAGTTTCACGTAATTATGAAAGAAGACGCTGTCCGTGAATTTCTTAAGGTGAGATAATGAGCGCATGTTCTTTGCAGATATACGCAAGCCTGTAGTAGACCAGGGTATAGCTTGTTTGATAGGCCTAAGAGGAAACGCCAAATTAGACAAGGTATCCATAAATCTAGAAAATTCGGAATCGACGTCAACCGAGAGGACAGCCCACTCAGTTGTTAGACATAGGTGGCGAAAATTTAGAAAATTTTCATCCGAAAAAATACGGCCCAATTTGCGCGAGGTATTTTTGCATTTGGATTTTGGCAAAAACTTTGTCAATACTGCCTCATGATCAGAGAAACCTGAGTAAAGAACTCTACAGTCAACGAATTCCGGGTCAAAAAACGACACGACATAGTCTATAGTACTAGAGCCAGTTTTAGTTATTCTAGTTGGTGAGTCAACATGCATGAGTATACCAAAAGAATGAAAAATGGACTGGAGAGACTCCTTAGCTGCACACACACTGGAAAAGTCAATATTCAGGTCGCCACACAAAATTAATTTACTTTTTATAGGTAGAGATTCAAGCAAGCTTAGCAATTTTTGACACTCTATTTTAAAGTCGATTAGAGAAAATAGTATGATTCATTGGCAAGTAATGTAAATATTTACGATCCGGTAAAATTGTGATGTAAGAAGAGGCTTAGCTTGCCTGCGGCAGGTCAGTAGTAGATAGGCCGGCCAGCTGTTGTGTTGTGTTTTGTCATAGAGCTGATATTTAGGGGTTGAAAGTCTTTTGACTATAAACGTGGCATGTACTGTAAGGCAACGGGTCGTTTGACCAGAAGAAAACCTCTTGTGACGTCTTGCCTTCGAGGTTGGTCTTGAGAGTTTGAGGTCTTCCTTGTCTTCTCGATTGACACGATGCGGCTTTAGGGTAGAGAGACTAGTGAGGTACCCCAGTTAGCTTATTCGATTGGGATGCGAATCTGTTGTGTAGCGGCAGAATTGCGTTCGGGGGAAGCCCCCATACTATTTCAGGTGACACTAGCTAGTTGTTGAAGATGATTAACCAATATATAACCGAATGATTTTTAAATTAGGTGGAAAATATGGAATGGGATATATTGAATAGAATATATCAGTGGCTAGGGGGCGGAGTACCCCCGGGTGAGTCTTACTATTTAACTATCAATTTTATCCAGATCAGTAAATGTTTGTTTTGTTATTTTCATGTACAATGAGAGAGTGCTTGCCAATCACCAACTAAATGGATATTTGAGCTGAATTCGCATTGTGAGACCCGGTTGAGTAAGCCCCAAAAATAGCGATTTTACATATTTATTTATAATTTGGCATTTGATATCACTTTGGATATTTGTAACCTACGGCCCAATCTGGTCCACCATTTTAGCGGTGGCTTCGAAATCCGACCCTGGCTAACGGGCGAGAGAGAGATGTGAAAATCGTTAATCAAAAGCCAAGTGCGGAATCTAGCCGAGGGCCGCGGCATGTCCGCACCACCGCCGGACCAACATGGCCGCCGAGCTCACCCTTTCCTCCGGTCGTCGTCGCACCCCCGCGTCTTCGCAGTTCCGGGGGGTGGCGGACCCGTAATTTATTATTCACGGCTTCCGTAATGGAATTCTATTATAACGGCCTAATAATCACGGCAGAAATTTTGGCTTACTGTTACGACCACCGCCGTTCCAGCTCTAGGATCGCTTCCCTTTAGTTTTACCTATTTCCTCTGCGACGAGGTAACGACGCACAGTGCTTCGTCCCATGGACAAAAATCAAAAAATAAGTTAAAATTTACTAATATCTGAATATATAATTTTATACTTATAGCAATGTTCAACCATCCTGTATATTATTTTTCATAAACAGCGTTTTTGTTAGCAAATATTTTCACTAAAAATAAATTTTCCGATCATTATCTCATCAGTGAAAAGAATAACATTCATAGTAGTTCTGTATATTATGGAGTTAAACGGGTACGTACTTAATTGAAAGTCACTATGGATATTGTTAAACAAGGAATGTACTTTAAATTTATTTCTGTAACATACAAGTTCGTGATTGTTTAGTTTTTATTTATTTTTTAAGATGATTTTTAAATGGGTATAAAAATTTTACGTTTTCAAACTTCAAAAAGGCATTTAAAAAAAACATATCAAAACATATCGTATTTATTGAATATTTTTGTTGCCATATTCATACACTTTTAATTTTTGTATAGTTCACCTGCGTCTGCTTGCGACGAACTTTATTTTATAATACTTTTCAGATGGAGTAAAATTGATAAGCAATGCCGATCTGGCTAATACTTGGCTTGATCATAAGGACAAGAACTCAAAATTATTAGTATTTCAAAAAATATGTTCTTATTAGATATTGATGAACCTTCCAGTCAAATGAGACACCACTTGTGCCTGAAAAAGTCCACTATGTTGGAGCGAAACGTCGAATAAAAAAAGTGTCCATCTTTCAGTTTATTATAAAATCTCATACCCAAGAAAAGGAAAAAATAATATATGCATATGGTCTATTAAAGAGGTAACTATTAACATCCGAACCCCTCATACCGACAAAATGAACAGTAACAACGCGAAAAAGTAACATATTAGAAAATGATGTACAGAAATATCTTATATGTGAGGATACTTCATCTACCTGTGATTTAGATACTATAAATTTAGAAGATTCTGTCAGCAGTGATTCTCCTGAATCAGAGTAGTTACGATCTATGCATTTTGTTGTCCTAAAGTAAATTTATAGCATCTTAATTTTTTTTTTAATTAAATATAACATTAATGTTTCTTTTTCATTAAAGAAAAACATTTTTATCTTATATTAGGCTTTATTGTAGGAATCATGTTCTAATGTTATTTCAATTCTTTTTTATCACAGGAATTTATTTAATACTTACACCGTTTTCATACTATAACTTATTATTTGCTTAGATGGAACACAGCTCCAACATTATTATTATTTATAAGATTTTTTTTTTCATAAACGTGGGACTAAGAACATCATCATTTAGTACCTACAATGAGAGAACTTATTATTTGTGTCAAATAAACCTAGTTTGAATAAATTGCTTACAATAAAAGAGAAGTTTTGGATTTTTGTCCTCTAGAGCCATATGTTCGAAGCACTGTGCGACGGTTCACAAATAACAGCAAGATATTAAAATAGAGAATTTGTCAATTATACCGGGTGCGTCTCAAAAGTGGCTCACCCTTATGACCTTTCAGATTAATTAAGATTTGGTATGTTAGTATATGACATAAATTAGGATTGGTTGACGTATTTAATTGTTTTTGGTCACCTGTTTCACCGGAAATTACTACAAATTTTGATTTTTATATGGCACTCCCTGTTATATTTTTTTTTAATACTTTATTCGATAGAAAATAACACTCTCAATAGAATGACATATCATATGTCAACTCTACTCTATTGAAATTTAAATTACAATTTTTTTTAAGAGAGAATGTCAAAAGTTGACAAAAGATATGTCATTCTATTCAGAATGTCATTTTCTATCGAATAAAGTAAAAAAATACCAAGGGCGCCATTTAAAAATCAAAGGTTGTAGTCATTTCCGATGAAACAGAAAGTGACCAAAAACAATTGAATAGGTCAATCAATCCTAATGTATGTCATA